TCACCCGAAGACGATTGTGGATACTAACAATTTTTTCGTGATGATAGTTTGTTGATAGTTTTGTTTTTTTTATTGTTGCTTGTATTTTATTTCATAGTAATTTCAGTTTTTCTTCGCTCAATATAACTGTTACTTTTCAGCTAATCTTTTAATTTTTCATAGATTCTTGCAGGGATTTCAAATCGATTTATATCTTATTGGAAAATGGAAGTCCGAACGAATGAAATGCAAGTGTGGAAAAGATACTCACCAAGAAATTGAACTCTCACTTCGTTTCTTTTTGATGTCTCATAACACTTACTTTTACCTTTCAAATGTGGGTATTCGTTACGAAAGTTTTTCGACAGACTGAACAGTTTTATTGAACCACAATATTGGCCAGAATCCTCGATTGATTGGGATGTTGGTGTCTGTATCATACACACATAATACAGATTCGACGAAGTATTTATTTTTGTTTCCAGTCAACTGCCTTTCATGTTCTTATTGATGTATTTTAAACAGTCGGTAACAAATGTAGTCACTAAATGATTACTACCAACTGAATTTATTTTGGAAGCTCGTAAACCGAGGCATTTATACAGAATTATGAGTTTCAGGAAGATGAATGTTTTTGCAGAATTGCTTTGAGAGTTTTTAGGAAAAAAGCCTGTTGGTTTTCTACTTCATCATATGAAGTAGATCATGTAGATCATGCACAAAAAATTCTTTAAAATACAAAGTGGAAGAAAATTTTCATCCAAAACAATTATTTTCAAGAAATCAATGATTCGGTGGGAGCAGGAAAAAATCGCAGGGGAACAAAACATTCTTATTACAGTTACTTCCTATATTAAATGAATCAATAACTTGCCACCGAACGCACGTGGCTTTAAAAATTTAGCGCTTTGTAATGTTGAATGAGTTAATTCTCAAATTGACCATATGTATGTCAGAATGCCTGCTTAATAAACTATATAAATAACTAGGTGTTTTAGTTTGAAGTAACTTAAACAAAAAAGTTTATCAAATATTGGACTCTGTACCTCACATTCAGCTCCTTCATTTTTAACAAAAATGGGGTGACATGTTCACCATATGGTATACTATTTGTCATTGAGACCCTATGCATAAGGCCAAAGTTTTATTTGGATTGATTTTCAGTCCATGATTCTCCGAGTATAGGAATGTTTTGTGCAAATCTGTGTTTATATTCGCCACACAACTTTCTGTAACGGTGTTATGAGAAGACAAATATAAATGTATATCATCTGCGTATAGATGTACTTGACAATGTGATAAGAAAGTGGGGTAATCAAAAATAAACACTGAAAACATCAAGGGTCCTAAAATACTTCCCTGCGGTACAACTGAGATTGTTTCTTTTAGGGATGACCATGGGTAATCATCCAGTTTGACCCTCTGTGATCGGCCTGTGAGATAGCTGGTCATCCGTTTAAGAGAAATGTCTTCGAATCCTATGAACTTGAGCTTACTGATGCGTAAATCGAAATTAACTAAATCGAAAGCTTTACTTTGATCAAGCAGTATTAAAATGGTGACTTTTGATTGATCTCTGAATCCCGCAAGATCGTCGATTACTTTCAAGAGGGCAGTCTGTGTTTGAGAGTTTTTTCATAAATATCAGCATTATCCGAGCTAGGAACCGCACGTTGAGAGGTTAGACCTCGTTAATCCTTAGCTCGCAGAGGTAGTTCGTAGGAGAGACAGCTGCTCAACGAAAAAATAGAGTTTGAACAGATTATAGATATGTAAATCATATACACACCTGGGATAACACAACTAAATGCGAAAAAAATTGCTCATTGATTAAACAATTCTTATTGTTTAGTGAAAAAATTCTCCAGCTACCAATAACCAACTAATCTAAACACAGAAGTGAATATTTTCAAATGGATCTACTCACCTGAAAGTACTTCCTTTCTCCTTGATGAATAAATCGACACTGTTATCATAATTATCACGAGGAGGGAGGACAAAGTTTGAAATGGGGGTGTGAAGGAAGATGCGCACTTCATTCAAACGCCCTTCAAAATCCCTTCGTTTCTACCATCTCGACGGTGACTGTAATTCTCACGGGATTAATCGCCAAACAGCTCTACTAATTATTGTGCTAAACATAAGTACTTTGCAAATAATTAACGGACAAAAAGGGTAGAGGTTGCCCAATGAAGTGTCAGGAATTTTCAAAAGTTATTCCCAAAGTTCGTTCATTAGGAGTACACTGAGAAAAAAAGTTACTAATAGCGATCAAAACGTTTACTTACCACAAATGAAAAAAGAACCTCGTCACTGTTTATTTGCCACTCTCGAAAAAACCCGAATAAAGATAGTAACACTTTCAATGAATCAGAGGAATATAAACAACTGAAATTAATTAAATAATTTTTAATTGTCTATATTTTCATATTCACAAAAAATTGGTATTTACTTTACTCCCAAAATATGACGAGTTGACCTGTTTGGAAGATTTTATATCGAATAAATGCATTATTTCATTTCATATTCTGTCCAATAAGAAACACCACAGCGTTGGCTAATCTCCACATCTGAAAATTAAACACTTTTGAAACAACCAATAGAAGAGAACAGTGAATAAATATAGTTTAAAGAAACTAAAAGACACGCTTTTAAAGGAGGAGGCTTAGGAATAAGGTTGCAATGGGATTACAAATGAAGAAAAACATTTAAGTGTGTTCGAATTATATCAAGGTGGTTGCGCACAGCGCCATCTGCCCGCGAATACATGAAGCAATAATGGCGATAATTCTGTCAAATACTATCTCGAGCATCCAAACGGAAAAGAAGAGTTACAAACAACAAACGAACAAACATACATACAGGTGAAGCCAATAAAAGCGTGTTAATTGATAAAAATATACCAGAAATGATAATAATCTGTTGTTGCAAAGGTAGACTCAGATATGAAAATTGGCAGAGAGCATTGACTGATTATTTCTAAATTGTTTAAGAGGATACAGGCAACAAAGTTAAACCTGAAATTATCAGCCTTCAGAAATTGGAACCAAATAAATTTAGCCAATACAAAACAGTGCTGAACAGTGGTTCAGCACTGTTGAAGGACATCATCTTGAAGGACAAGCATGAATCTGAAAAGGCCTGACCTCCTATGGGACTGACAGATGACTAAATCTACAAGGGTTGCTTTGCAGTGAAAACTGCAGCAAAATTCAGAAGTCGATGTGGAATCTTGGCTTTGCAATGAACTGATTTTAAAGGCCTTGTTTTTCAGTGACTAAAGAACCGCCCCAGCCCGCAAGGGTACAATACCAGTACGGCCCGGTACCGCCGCAACCGTTATGCCCCTGCATTTTAAATCTGTAATATCTTCGGAATTTTTCATCTGCTATAGAGATCCTATTGATCTATACTGAATGCACAATGTATTTAGGGTACTTAATTGGATGAGAATTAAAGCTAAATTGCTTCAAAACCGTCATCAAAATCCGTTGCGAGGTTTTAAAGATCTAAGTATGCATAGGGACAGACGGTGTAAAGGATATGATGGTATGACGAGGATATGAGAACCTAACTCATCATTAGTTGCCCTGGATATTGAATAACTAAAATCTTATAGTCGTACCTTTACTATCAACTGGTAATTGACAGTTATGAAGCCCTCTCCAGTGAGATTGTAAGGAGTGCCAGCGTTGATCAGCATTATTACTAAAGTGCGTCTATTTTGATTGTTCCAATGTTCCCACTGTAGTTTACAGAGGTTTGAAAATATGTTTTCTGTCTGAAATATGACCATTCACATTAAACACTGTTCGTAACATTCGTCAGGAGTTTACGATTGAAAGTTCAATCGGGAAATTTTGAGAAACTCTTTTTCAAACATCTTTCACATCGATTATGGTAGGCCCTCACGGCCGAATGTTCCTGGCTCATTAACCGTGGTCTGGGGGTTCTTATACCTGACATTTCGTCTACTACTGCGGCAAACATTATCGAAGGCTTAATGTCAGAATAGCACCTAACATGTGTTCGTTAGGTGGACAAAACGAGACACAACTGAATGGGGATTGATGACAGTATGAATACTGAATGGACTGTTGAATGGAAGGCAGCTGCAGATCTCTGCGGATGCCGCCATTCCTCAGGAACCACGGAGCATTCCCTATCACCATTGTTACCGTATTTTGCAATCTCTCCCAAATGGAGAGATTTGTCAGAGCCGCTTGTCACCAAAAGCTTGAAGCGTAGATGATGACAGGCTTGAACAGCGTGTTATAGCTCGCAATTTTGTTCTTAAGACTTGGATTTTCTGTTAATCAGAAGGTAAAAACTTCTAGTCCGCCTCTCGATCTTTGCTTTCACGCTTTCAAAGTGCGGAGTCCAGGTAACTCTACGGTCTATTGAAAGACCAAGGTTCTTTACCCACGCTTGCCAGTAGATCTCCCTTGCCAGCCGGAGAAGATAGGTTATTGCCTGAGTCTTGTTAGGGTTAACACACGAAGCACACGAAGATATAATGTCATCAAAGTATTACCTGTAGACAAAAGAAATGCTACTAATATGAAAATTAAACGAGATCTGCATCTAGAAAGGAAGGTGTACCAAACCTTGGAAGAACATCCACTTTTTTTCAAGATAAGGAGAGGTATTATATTTGCAAAACAGCAAGCTACATCACCTATAAAGACTACTCAAAATTTGCAAGATCTTCCAATCATCAGGCCCAAAAAGAGAGCCACCCGCAGGATGTCAATGTTTCTACTTCCAATCGTTCAAAAACTGGAGGAGATGGAAGTCCCAAAACAATATTGACAACATAATTTCAAAGTGGAGACACTATAAATATTCCTTTCCAGAAAGTAATTGTTTGAATCGATTCTCTTGGCGTTGTAGTGACATTTCTTAAAATCGATTACTCAATTCAAAGGAATGATAATAATAATAATAATCGACTTCACTCATCACAAGAGGTAAAGGATATCTTTTTTGCATTTACGTTGATTGAAGCCACGATTTTTGTGACCTCCCATCTCAGATTTTAAAAGTCGTGTACACCCTACTATATGTAGGTTTTGAGATAATTTTGAAGATGTTCATAACTAGATGTTTTAGAATGTGAATAAATAAAATGTTCATGACGTTACCTCTTCTGTTAAAGACTGTCCATATGTGCAGAACAAATGTATTATAACGATCCAATCGAATACACACATATACATCCTGAAGTTGCTTATAGGACTGATTTCCTACAAAGGGAGATATATTCTGTATTACAAAATAATATTTAATTTATCCAGGTTCTTTTTTCCTTTGTTAATTTTCTTACCAAAGCAATGAAAAACATGCTGTACACCAAAATATTCACTCCAAATAGACACATCGAGTTTATCACATAGTGAGCAAACTTTTCTCCTACGTGGCATAACCTGAAAAAAAAACAGTAAAAACAGTAGAAGAAGGATTGGTGCAGGAAGAAGGATAGGGAAAATAAATTAACTAGAGAAAAGTTTAAAGAACACTAAAATGATATAAATGAAAAAGTAATCGATATCGACAATAAGATAAAACAAACGGAGAGAAATCTAATAAAAAGGGAAGAATCAATAAGACCAATTATGACAATAAGTAATGAAAATGAATTAATATTTAAAAGGTTGCAATGGGATTACAAATGAAGAAAAACATTTAAGTGTGTTCGAATTATATCAAGGTGGTTGCGCACAGCGCCATCTGCCCGCGAATACATGAAGCAATAATGGCGATAATTCTGTCAAATACTATCTCGAGCATCCAAACGGAAAAGAAGAGTTACAAACAACAAACGAACAAACATACATACAGGTGAAGCCAATAAAAGCGTGTTAATTGATAAAAATATACCAGAAATGATAATAATCTGTTGTTGCAAAGGTAAACTCAGATATGAAAATTGGCAGAGAGCATTGACTGATTATTTCTAAATTGTTTAAGAGGATACAAACAACAAAGTTACACCTGAAATTATCAGCTTTCAGAAATTGGAACCAAATAAATTTAGCCAATACGAAACAGTGTTATTAGACTAAACAATGAATGCATTACCGAACTCATCTACCCTTGAAGGGCATCATCTTGAAGGACAAGCATGAATCTGAAAAGGCCTGACCTCCTATGGGACTAACAGATGACTAAATCTACAAGTGGTTGCTTTGCAGTGAAAACTGCAGCAAAATTCAGAAGTCGATGTGGAATTTCGGCTTTGCAATGAACTTGGAAGTAGAGATAGTGCACCAAAAATAAATACTGCTTCGTACCAAAGGTAGAACAATAGTTTGATGTTATAAGAGCAGTCTTGGGTCAGATGTACCAGATATTGCCATGTCGCCTCATCCCCCACGAAGGGGGAGTGCAGCAGGGCAGTAATCACTACTGCGAAAGAACTGAAGAGGCACAAAACTATGGTGATCTTGCATTCTGACTGGATCCGTTTGAAAATTTCGTCTCCAGCTGATCTCAATGGCCGACCATATTTCCTCAAACTGAGGGGGAAATCAGTCAGTCTGTTGAATATGAGCCATTGGGTTAGAAATAAGCCGGTGAACTGAAAAAAAACAGTGGGAGTAATGAGCTGCAAGCAAAGCTCACAAACAGTTTAAACCAGAAGCAAAAAACATATCCATTTCACACAGAACCACAGCACTGTTTTGACCTATCAATGTTCCATCAATTGTGCTAGGCCAAACCACGAAAGCAACTATCTTTCAACAGTAAAATTTAACGGAGACCACAGATGTCAATGATGAACGAGGCTTCCAAAGACGGCCTCGTGGTCTCTTTTTACTCAGGTTTTCTCCTTTGTGACTCAGCCTATCACCACTGATGGAACCTACAGCGAGCCGAAACAGTATTTTCAGAAAATTTTCCACATTCATCGATTTGAATTGTTAAAAGCCGGGTTCTGAAAGCAGGCTTGACCGTTTAGTGGGACTTGACCGTTTTCCTGTTTGATTACATGTTTCCATATGTTGCGTATCCCTACGCATATTAATGGTGGAAATAAATTCATTATTGATTTAAATGACGACAGTGATAGTAAAACAGAGAATATGGAAGAGGAATTATCAGAAGCTTTCGAAGAAAGTTGGTGAAGTGTTTTTGAAGCGATCGATTGTTTATATATATGAGTAAGTAGTATATCGTTCACTTGAACTTTACTTACCCCTTGGATGTCCAGTAGAAATGGTAGAAATTTCCAACGTTCCCTGTTCGTTTTGTCATAGAAATAATAAAAAATTCCACCAAAAACAATCATTTGTCCTGTTATGGTCAAACAAAACAGAAACAATTTGTGTATTTTTGATTTCCGGAAAAACTGTATACCGGCGGTATGATGCAATAATATCAGAGGATCATCTATAAAAAAAATTTCATCATTTCTAGCGACCAAAGTGTAACAATTAACCTTCCAGTCCTAATTTGTGCTGATCCATTTTCCCACAAGACAGAATCTTACACTGGAAACACGAAACTAACCGGAATGACAGGGGAAGGAAAATTGAAGATCTATTAAAAGCTCATCATCGGATAATTATAGAAAATGAATTGCCTTGAGTACCTAGTTGATAATGACAAATGAGGGTGGTTATTTTATTAGTTAAGGATGAATAAATTAAGACCAACTCATATACTGAGGGTATAAATAATGAACAAGACTGTACGTTCAGGAATATTAAAAAAAAGGAGGAGAAACCCCACTTCACTGTAAAATAAGGCTAACCCTTGCTGAAACATCAGTATTTTTCCTTTCGTATAGTTCAATGTGTATATGAAAATAGTTCTTTTGAGACGAGCTTATCTTCTAATTTATGTCTCAAAAATACTTGTCTGTATATTTTGAAACAGGTATAGCTGAGGCACCAGTCAATCTAATAATAACACTGATGATCATCAAACATGACTCAACCTCTGACGGAAGCAAGAAACTCTTTGGAAGGTTCGAAATAGATGAACATTTCAACCTAGCAGACCACTATTATAATAGTAAATTATGAATTTGGTCATTATTACGTCTTGGTCAAAGACGAAACGGACTGGTTTAAGTTTGACGATAGTCGTGTCACGAAGTGTTCTGGCGATGCATTGAATCTATTGGAGCCTCTGGAGACACCCTACATTTTTTTTATAAGAGAGAGGACATTGGTAGATTAAGATCTTCAGTTGATGTGGTGCGGTGACTCAACCTCTGACGGAAGCAAGAAACTCTTTGGAAGGTTCGAAATAGATGAACATTTCAACCTAGCAGACCACTATTATAAAAGTAAATTATGAATTTGGTCATTATTACGCCTTGGTCAAAGACGAAAAGGACTGGTTTAAGTTTGATGATAGTCGTTTCACGAAGTGTTCTGGCGATGCATTGAATCTATTGGAGCCTCTGGAGACACCCTACATTTTTTTTTATAAGAGAGAGGACATTGGTAGATTAAGATCTTCAGTTGATGTGGTGCGGCAGGTTTTTCCGGGATTTCCTGGAGCTGAAAAAGCAAATGCGCCACTGGAATCAATGAAGTCGCCCCGGAGCGCCAATTGATTTTACTTGTTGTTTTTATTTCTATCGTTGTATTATTATAACATTGTTTTCTTCCTTCCTTTGGGAAATTCTTAAATTTTTAGTGAAATGTCATCTATCTTCCAAAAAAAAACAATTAATTACTACAAAAATGAAGTAAATCAGGCGGGTAGAGATTCAAAATAGTTTAGGAACTCGATAAAAGAAGTATATTCCAAATTAATGATACCTAGAAATGATCTGAATAGAATAAAAGCGATAGGAGGATATATGTAAAAGAAATTGCAAACCTTATGAATGAACATTACGTCACAGTGAGGAAAAGCTTGCAGAAGAAATTAATACTGACCCTGAATAAGCAGGAACCTCGGGTGTTCCACAAGGAAGCAACCTAGGTCCACTTCTCTTTAACGCCTTCATAAACGACATAGTTGAGGTCAATTACATCAACTGTTATATTGTGAGATCAGTGGCATCGAGGACTATCTTCAACTCTCCCTCAATCCGAAACATATCGTCAAACGGTCCCTAGAAATATTGTAATGTTTCACTTTTTCCTTACAGTTTGTTTTCCCAAAATCTAACATCACCATATATTAGCCATTGTCGCAAATTTCACGAACAGGAAGATCATAAATCCAAGTTTCAAATGAACACGGAATTTTTAAGAAGCCAAACCGTAGAAGTCACTTTACATAAAAAAATAATTGTCTGTTTACAGCTACGGAATCCTGTGACCTTACTCTTATCATCGATGAATAATTCATTAACAGAAGGTACAATAATTTAAAAATTCAGCGGAACAATTCCACAAATTTACAAGTTCATTAACAATGGTTCGTTGATCGGGGAATTGCGTTGAAATCAAAAATTCAGTATTATAATTTTGTTTTTGTTTCTCTTATCGTAGGCCAATGTAAATAATTTTTGAAGATAACAATAGCATTGCAAAAATAGTAATGAAGGAAAACAAAAAGGTGTTCATTAGAGAAAAAATAAAGTTAATCCAAGGTACCAGCGATGAAAGGGGGGAATTTTGAGGATAGAACATGGTTTTTAATGATTTACACCGGAACTTTGCGTTCTTCTCATACTATAATTTTTTGAAACGAACAACATTCAATTTTATGTTGAACCTATAGAAGTACTTTATTTCTTCAGACGACTGTTCTTCGAGAAATTTGAACTATATGAAAACATGACTCACTATCACACGAGTCTGGTTTCTCTGTTTCCCGCATTTGTTTTTTGATTAACCGCAAACACGATATCAACAATAATACAAACTCGCTAAGAGCATTGAAAACAAGACACGATTATTTTATTATGAACGCAAAAAAATTGCAATTATTTAATGATGATTCACCGACAAATATGACTTTCCGGAATAATACGATAATTGCCAGGAAAATACGCTATTATTTTTTACAAGGCTGACATAAAGTATTGTTTATCATACCGCTCAAATTGGCATTGATTGAAGGAAAGTTTTGTAGTCACATTGACGCCTCAGGAGGAAAGAACGGTATTGTTACTCAATGTTAGTTATAAACTCAAGAAACAACGTTTTTCTTGATCAGGAGACTACACATTTTGTCTTCCGTTGAAAAAAACTGGGTCCATTTCTAGTAGTCAACAAAAAGTTACGTATTGCTTTTTCCTATTGTCTGAATTCTACATCGATACACATGCTGTTGATACTATCTCTGAAAAACAAAAATTCAAAACTTCTACTTCAATAAACCAAGATACCAAATCACTTGTTAACATATTGGCTGAAAAATCCCTGGCTTAAGAAAAAAAACGCGTGTTTTTGTTCAAATTTGGCTTTATTTATCAAGGTAACCTCCATCAAAAGTCACACAATCATTTCAGCCACTCTAACATTCCAATACCGCTTTTTGAGGTCTGCCAATAGCCAGTAGTCGCTTGGAGCCAGATCTGGCGAATACGGTGGATGTGCCAATAGGACGAAACTGCAGTAACGTTGGTTACAGATAAAAGTGGTAGAAAGTTTAATTTTTCATCAAAAATCATGTCAAATGATACATTGCTAAGGAGTAGGAGGTGTTTTTTGACATAATACATCCCTTATAAGATATCTAAGTGATTGAGAAGGATCTGTCTGATAAAACCTGCAAAGGGGAAGTTCCCAATTTTTTTTGGTACATAAAATACACTAGATATAACTTGCTGAGATATATGAATATTTCATCTAAGTTGTTCCAGACAATTAAGGAAATTGTTCCCACAGCTCATTGATTATTATAATTTCCAACCGATCATTACTGTTCAAAAATAAACTACGCAGAATATACGTAATTAAGAAATCGTGAGAAACGCCGTCGTGCTTAACATAATAGATGATATAAAAAGTTAGCTTTGCAGAATAAATGGTTGAAAATATCGTAAACCAAACTGGTCATGTTATTTTTACCTACCTGAGCTTTCTCAGTAATTTGTATGCGTTTATTTTTTACATTTGCATAGTAACAACCTACATGATTACTAGTCCAGTTTCAGTTGAAGAGTTTTTTGTCCCGAGAAATGATTAGTCAAATGCTAGGATTATTTTTACCTGAGTTTCAAGTTGAAGTACACTTTGCGCTGTCAAATCTCGCGAAATTCCAGATTTTTGAGTCAAAATTCCTTTCACGTTAGTTTGAAGCTTTTTCTTTCACTCTCATTTAGGCCTTTGTGTATATTACTGTTGAAAAATACTTGGTTTCTATATCACTGATAAACAACAGTGATGTCATTAACATCGAATTGAAAATCTAGAAATAACATCTGTAGATACGTCTTAAAAAGGGACAATGAGGGTGTTTTCGATTGGAAATCTTTTTAAATGAAGCAGAACAAAATGAAACTAATTTAGCGGATTTCAGTTCTTTTTGAACACTCCCGAAACTAATCGGAATTTTCTGAGTTGTAAAATTTCGTTTGAGGAAGCTCCAAAATAGGAAAGGTGGACAAAATAGAAATTGATAGATAAATAAATATGTTTTGAGGAAAACTAAAGAAAAGCTGCTAATGAGGAACATGTTCATAGTAAAAAATAAATTTATTATACTTAATAATATATACATAAATTAATTTCAGTGTCTTTTCCTCTCATAAAAGGGGTTTATTTTCCGTACTGGGGTATAAAACTGTCAACAGCAAAGAACCTGAAACAAAAAAGAAGGTTCAGCTGGTGACTTTTGAACTACTTTTAACTGCAGAATATTTCTTGAACTGATGAATTGATTTATGTTTTGAAAAAAACTGAACAAAAAATACACGATAATTTGGAATAGTAGTTCTTTGATAAGTTTCATTTATTCATTCATATTCATTACTGTATTGAATTGAAAATGCCCCTAATTATAGCGCGAATTATGTGTTTATGTCGTAGCCATTCGCTTGTAATATTGAATAGTTCTTATTTTTGCAGACTTATTTTTAACGTCGTATGCAAAACACTTGAAAATTCATGGACAGTTTAGAGAATGGATGTATAATCATTCAGTTTCATTCAAAAACTAACTTATCAAAATCGAATGTACTCACCAAAAACAAGGAATCCCAAGAAAAATATAGGAGGGGCACAGCCTATCTGTAACAGTTGGGGCAAAATGATGTTTCCTACGACGGTCCCGAAACGCCCAAACATCAGATGCAAACACAGAGCACTGGTCCTGCAAAATTAATGAAAAATTCCATTTACTCTCAGTAGAATCAGGATTTAAATCTAAGGAACTTAGTTGATGAAACGAGGATCTGAGGTAACACGTTGTCTGTTCAAGGCTAATAGGGGTTGTCTACTATTTATTGTTATCGTTTGAAATATATAAGTTTGAATATATAAAGGCATGGCAGGGTTAAGACTGAACTCAAGCCCCTAGAAGGTGGTTTTCAAATATGGAATTGGTTGAAGAACTAATTCTAAGCTCCTTCATTCTTTGGGAAATGACTTTCTCCGTTTGGCCAATGTAAAGTTTTGGACAAGAACCTCAAATCAAGTTATACAGAGTGTAACATGAGTACGTTAGAATATTCAAGTGACTTATTCCTGAGACAATTTTAAGAAAAAAAGTCTGTATGAACTTGTGTCCGAAAATGCTTCGTTTCGGAGATACGGGGAGTTGAAATTGAATTTTCTTATTCGCTTTTTGAAAATAACTCTTGCAAAAAATAAGTTATTTCCACGAAATTCGGTACCCGGGTTTTTTAACCTGGAAAATCATAATTTTGTATTAATTTTCATGTAACATCTAGAGGGTGCTTTTTTGACAGTAAACTTTTGGTACTTTTCATGAAAAAACCTAATTCCCACACCTTTTCCAAGTAAAAAAGGCACGCCTCCTCAACAACGCTGAAGGTAATCGTTTTCGAGATATTTACAGTTTTCTATATCGATGCATATTACTTAGCTCCTAGGGTGTTAAGTGAAGTAGCTGAGAACATTACAAAAACTAAGTATGTGGTGGATGTCGTCAAAATAAACAACTTTTTCCTATAAAATGTTCAACGAAGAATGATTCGTTTTCGAATGCTTCATCATTTAAACGTAAGGGGAGAAAATAGGGCCCAATTAAATAATCCCCAATTATGCCTACCCAGACATTAAAAAAAATCTGTCTTGGAAATTAGTTTGCGTTATCGCATGTGGGTTATCTTCCGCCCAGATGTGGTTGTTATGGAAATTCATGACTTATTTTCAAAAAGCGAACAAAAATATTCAATTTCAACACCCCATATCTCCGAAACGGAGCATTTTCGGACACAAGTTCATATAGACTTTATTTTTTTTTAATTATCTCAGGAATGCGTCACTTAAATATTTTAACGCACTTATGTTACACCCTGTATACTCCTGATCCATGGAACACCTCCAAGTAGAGCACAAATTAGGTATAATTTAGCCAGTATGAAAACGAAACACTTATTGAGATGTCTCTTGAAAACCACTATTGCAATTTAGCAGTTTGGAGCAAAAGTATAGCTGAAAAACTCACCTCAAAGTTGTTGGGAACAATTCCAGGGTGGTTGTTGTGAGCACGTTGTCAGCAATACAACCCAACGACAGATCCAACGAATAGAGAATCATCATAGTTAAAGAATTAGTGGAAAAGTATACGGCGCAGCAAAAACACCCAGCGGCGAAGGAAAAAACCACTGAAATGAAAAGGGAAAGCAATTGACCGAGGGAATCTTGTTGACTCACCCTGTATATAAAATTTAAGTAATAACCTAAGCTTTTCTCAAGTTAAACAATTCCAATATTGAACAGTTCAACTAAGACTAGTTTAAGTTTTCACTTCTGTCGGATGTCCTGAGACGCATAGTTTTCTGTAGAAACTGTGTATTTTTACCTGTTAAAGTTTTCTTCCCCAACAGATTGACCAATGTCCCTGCTAGGCTGAATGAGATTACTCCAGTAATTCCTACGATGATCGAGTTGATATACACAGACATGTTGTCCAGGTTCTGGAAAATTGAACGAATGAAACATTGAGAGGAACAAAATTAAATTATAATTCATTCTTAGAATTTGACTATGTCTAGGCTGTTGAAAGTAGATACGCTGTTGTGCTCAGTATGTCTTTTACAGATCATAACTAAATCTGGAGAATTAAGTATTGGACCCTGGACGGCAACTCATAGAAATTATTCATGCTAGGTTTCACAAGAAGTCCTTCGCGGATCTGTTTTAGGGCCAATGACTTCCTTTTTCATGTGTAAAATTTTTGTTGCAGCTCTCACTTTGTTTATTTCTTCCTACGCACGTTCGACTTCTGTTGAGTAATTTATAATCTATAAAAATCAAAGCAGGAATTGAATTTTTCGACGCTAGCAACATTTTCAATTCATACAGTTAGCAAATATATCCGAAATATCGTAATTTTCGTCACTAATAATATCACAATGAGTGACTGTTTCACACTACGAGGATCTATTTATAAAAATGTTCTATTTTTGTTGAAGCAGCACAAATGAAACCCAGCAATTCTTCATTTCATAGTTATTACATCACCAGCTGATATTTATAAATTTCAAAAACGTACAACAGAAATACGTAGCCCTGAAAATGGTTTCTTTTTTCTTCTTACCGAATTAAAATAACTGATGGATTTAACGAAACTGTTATACAGAGTGAGCCTGCAAAAATGTGGTAGAGAAGCCAAGTTTCTACTGAGAATACCGTTTTCAAGTACCTTTTTGATGGACTATTGTGTGTATTATAGACTATATGCAAAATTCCTGTCATAATTAGGTAATGATCGAACAGGGATGTTTCAAAATGATATCAAAAACTCACCACAGTACAACCTTCTGCCACAGTTAGATTAGGTGTTCTCAACTCCTCAAAAATGGAACAAACGTCTGTTTCATTCTTGCTTTCGCTTATTTGATGATCACTTGTTGCTTGGAATATTTGCGGAAGCCACAATTTCACTAAATTCATGCTGAAAAAAGCAAAGATTTGCAGTGAGTAATGATAATACCACAAATTTTCTCCCTTAAGAAAAGCAAAGTTTATGCGAGTACTTAAAAAAGTGCAGAGGTTGAAAATCTGCGTTTTGTGAACTTTACAATTGAAATAGTAGCTCAGACTCAAACAATACTATTCTCCACACTTGCAAACACCATTGTCTTTCTGCAAATCAATCATCCCAGTGCCGAAATTTTCATATTCGGTGACTTCAATGTCCACGATATCGAATGGCTCAAATTCTCAAATATCAACGACGAACAGAGTCTCGAAGAAGCTGAGACGTTTGCAATGAGCAAATTATAAATGAGCCAACCAGGATTCCTAACCGTGATGGAGAATATGCTAGTTTTCTGGATCTATATCCAACAACCAATCCAGAAATTTACAGCCACCGTTAGGTCTCCATTGGGATTTTCTGAACACAAACTCATCTCAGTGCTGAGCGAATTACAGATAAATGTTGGGGACAATCTAAGCTTTTTCTATGTAGGATTTATGGATTTTTTAAAGTTTTGATCGATAGCTTCAGCTACCGACCAGACTGTATTTGATAACTGGTGAAGCTAGAGACGGTATGGCTGTAGTTTCGTTTTAGTCAGTTGATTCTCCCTCAATCATGTTTCTTAGTCTAAGGTGATATTCTTTATTTGGTTCATATTTCATTTCTCGGTATTATAATGCAGACAGTACAATTATCAGTATCATTAATGATCCGGACGGACGATAGCAGTGTACCTTGGCAGAAAATCTTATACCAATCTCGACTTAATTGAATAGAACTGGCCCATACTTGACGAAAATCCATATTAAAACTCATTAATACAGTTTTTTACAAGATTTTCACTATAAAGAGTTTTACAAAAACCGCGACACGTGTTTCGCTATACAATAGCTTTCTCAAGCTGAAAGATGTGGAACTAAAGACTTACCTCATGGTTAGGAGAAATGCGTTGCAACAAATGAGCAAAATCCTGTTGATATGAGGCGAACTCATGAAGGGTTTCATTTGACTGATTCCTTCCTTGAGTATATTGGGACGTTGCTTCTGAGTGATATCTGCGACTTCGTAATATGTTTCTTTCACCAAGCAATTGATCTGAAAGTTATTATTTCTTAACAAATTGTTTGCTGCTTAGATATTCGTGAATTATGTTCAAATGATCCGATTAGTACAAGAAACGGAACTAAAATTGTAGCAATTTTTCAACAGATGCAATATCAGGATGATATCAGATATTTTAAGTGAAGTACAACATTAATTGGTCCTTCGAGCCGGATAGAAACTTGGTATTTCAGGTGAAATATGACAGTATTTATCAACGAGGATCAGTAATGTTATGGATTACAGTGCCACATGGTGTAAACAAACCCCTAATAGTCTTTTTTGGTTTTGTATTGTTTTGTTGGATAATGTTGTTATTCTTGTTTCTGAATGCGTTTCATTTTTGAATTATTCAATATTGAAGAATTGAGTTATGTGAGCATTGCTTTCTAAGAGGATTGCTAGTATTTTCCAGTATTTGTGTTCAATATCATTTGTTATGAGTGTTTCACCCTGTATATTGTAATATTCAGATTTGATGTTCAGTTGCTCTAACTAAAACGAAGATAATAATAAATTAACCTCTTCTGACCGACATTGAGTTTCAATATTTCTTTCTTCGAAGCCGAACCAAATCTAGATATTTCAGGTAAAATATAACATCAATCGGTTCTTCGAGCCGGATTAAAACTAGATACTTCAGGTAAAGTATAACATGAATTGGTCCTTCGAGCCTAGATATTTCTGGTACAATATAACATCAGTTGGTCCTTCGAGCCGGATTACATCTAGATATTTCAAGTGGAGTTTAACAAGGGATAATCTTTCAAGCCGGATTGAGCCTAGATATTTCAGGTGACACAAACATTAACTGATCTTTAGAGTCGGATTAAACCTAGATATTTCAGGTAAAATATAACATCAATTGGTCTTTCAGGTAGAATATAAGATTAATTCATTCGTGACGGATTGAACCTAGATATTTCAGGTAGAGGTAGGTAGGTAATTGGTCCTTCGAGCCGGATCAAACCTAGATATTTCGCGCAAAATATAACATAAGTTGGTCCTTCGAGCCGGATTAAACCTAGATATTTCGGGTGAAATATAACATTAACTGGTCCTTTTACTCACCGGAAATGTATCTTCTGCGTTTCCCGTGTTGATCCTATACACTTTTCGGAAGATATTCAGAGCTTCTTCGTTCCGGCCTAGGGTCATCAAGAATTTGGGACTCTCCGGCACGAAAAAGTAAATCAGACCGCTCGTGATTGTCGGTATTGCGCAGATGAATAGAAAAACGTTCCAGGAATGATAATCTGGAAACTTATATCAATAAGAAAAGTGAGAATATTCCATTTGAAAGAAAGAAACGGTAATTAACAATAACCGGAACAGTCACAATTATGTCAAATATTGTACAGGATTGTTGTAGTCATTATGCAATGTTGCTAATAAATAGCATTCGAAATTCCTTGTTGGGAAGTTCAAAACTGAATAATTTCAAAAATAATAATAATAATACTGTTCATTGATGAACATACATGTCTTATCTCAATCATTTTCTTCACACCACACATCATTCATAAGATTCATTTGTTTATGTGATTCCAAGGAAAATTATTGACAACCTTTAGTAGTGAGGCTCAGAATTCCTTACCAATTAGTCCGAATGGAGAAAAATCTAGCTTTTGCGGTAAAATTCCCCAAGCTAACAGAGGAAGGAATATGTAGGCTGAACTCAATGTAGCCCCTCTTACTATCTGAACTCTAGCTCTATATTTCGAAGAATGAAATTCCGATAAGTGAGATACTGATGCCGAATAAGGCCCATTGATTCTGAAATTGAATAATTTTAATGTTTTCATTATTGTTCTTCATGCAGATGGAATATACGAGGGTGATTTGGAAAGTTTCCGACCTAACACACATACAAGACTGGTTTTTTTATTTTTCAGCGTAGTCTCTTGGGTTTTTTGCCCAAAATAAACCAGTTCGCAGCAAAAAATTATTTTACGAACAACTACAGAGATACATCGTCATAAATGCGAAAATACGAAACTAATATATCCAGTAGGTCGGTATTAGCAATAGTGACAATTAAATTGGTATGACGCTGAATTAATACTAATTGTGTGTTGTTGCTCTGTTCTTAATTTAGTCTTATTTAGTCAATTCTAATAAAAATACTATCAGCTCAGTCAAACGACTGTTACATAACAACTGCGCGTCCAAAATGGCCGAAACTTTGGTGAGTAACTGTCAACTGTCAATGAAATTCACTAGCTTTTATTTACCAGTTGAGGTCGGGAACTTTTTAGATCACTCTCGTATTTCCCAAATAAGAATGTCCAGAAGAATTATTAGTTTTGTCCGTAGTGAAAGGAATCGTACTTACATGAAGCCACCACAAAACTTGGCTATAGATAATACCGTTATGTTGGTGGAAAGGGAAACTATTATAGCAAATCCGCCACCGACGATGTAACCATACTTAATGATAGATTTCCTCCCTATCATATCACACAGGCGACCCCAAAATAATGCGCTTGTGACCATTCCTGAAATAAAAAAGATATTATGAAGATAGCAATAATTAATACACAGTTGGACGAAATTTTCCCACAACTTAGTCCTTAGTTACTTAGTCCCTGTTGAACTTGTCATTAAAGTGATTCAGAACCGTGAAATTATTCAGTCCGAAGTAAACATAGCTATGTAAATGTACTGTGTACAGCGAAACGTTTACATTAAGCTTTTGTTCGGTTATATCCATAATCTTTCTGAAGACGCTCGCCAAGAAATAATAGATTTCATATAAAAACATAGAACACTGGGTAATGCTGACTATATTATACCTGCACTTATTTTTAATGGTGAATGAATATGTTATCGTTATAATACTAAACAATTTTCCCGTTTGTTATTCCCCAGAGTTTGACAGTGCCATCTTTCGGCAATAGCTGAGCTTTTCGAGGTAGAATTGGCAATGGATGGCATGGCACGTGTGTTACTCTACGAGATTACAAATTATCAAGTTATTTATGAGACATTGTTCCAACAAAATGGTCTATAGTTATTTCTTTCGCCATGACAATTTTAGAACTTTCAATCGAGGTAAGTCTGACAAAGAAGAAAGGTCCTGATCTGCCTGCTTATATTTGTCAATGATTCAGAATAAAACTGAGTCAATTTGTCGGAAATGTCGGAGATGTTGGATTTCAACAATCTTGGTTCGATTATTTTTTATTTGCAGCTCTGTTTTATTGCAATAAAAAATATGAAGTAGTCGCAATGAAAAAATTAGTAAAACGATGGCTTTCAGTTTGTGAAAATGAGTGAAATAAAATGAATGAATTACTATATGCAAGGCATATTGCGTTTTGTGCATTTATTCCAAATAAATCATAATTTCGAATAAGTAAAAAAATACCGAGTAATTCCCCTAATCATGACCTTGGCCTGTTGGTCAAATCTTCTACGGGAACAGATTGTTGATCTTTTTTTTTCTCTATAATTAAACAGTTGATACCATCCACTTCCTGATACTTCTTGCAAGTTATAAGATAAACTATGACCCGTATGAGCGATTTAAGAAATACATACAGAATTTTTACCAACATTTTACATTGATTTATTTGGTTTCCAATAATAACAAATCATTTCTCAAGAATCTCTTGTAAACAAACTATAATGGTTACACAACAAGGTGTGTATCCTTTATTATTTCAAATCATGCAAGTTGGAAATACTATAATTCTACAAATGTAATAATATGACAATTTTATCTACCCATTGTCGTTCAAGATTAGTATTCTCAGATACAAAAAAATATTTTTTTTTCTGTGATTAGCATTAAACATCAATTTCAGTACCATTTACCGATAATACTCTGCACAGTTCTTCCAGCGATTCTTTCATCTATGTAACTCGTCCAAAAAACACTCGGTGTTTTTCTCTGCAAAAAAATTGTTCACGAAGGTGGTTGCCTCTTCATTTGACGGAAATTTCTGTCCTTCGAGCGCAATTGTTGAATGAGGGAACAATAATAAGTCGCTTGGGACTAGATCTGGTGAGTGAGACGGATGGTCAAGCAGTTCAAACCGTAACTCGTGGATTTTAGCCAAGGAACAGTCCCCAGTGGGACGGTCCGTTGCTTGGGTGGAACAGGATTTTCTTTTTCTGCAAATTTGGCCGATTTTTCGCAAGTTCTGCCTTCAGTTTGTCAAGTATTGATACGTAGTATGCTCTTGTGATGGGTTTTCCTTTTTGAAGATAATCGACTGACTCTATGACTATCCCAAAAAATCAGTCGTCATCACTTTACCAGCCAATAAAAACAGTATTTGCTTTTTTTGAAGCCGGTTTATCCTTTGCAGTCCACTGTTTGGACTCTATTTTCTTTTCGGCCGCATAATGGTGTATCCAAGTTTCATCTACAGTAATTAATCAGCAACAAAACTCGGATTCGATACCCAGCGGGGCAGGCACAAAGTATATGCTCTGCTGTTTTCAAACAGAGGCGACACACACTATCTTCCGACAGTCCGAGTCTCTGCATATAATAATAATAATATCATTTATTATGCATAAAAATACATTTATACATGAAAGGAAAAGGGTTAGCCAACCCTTTTCCAACCCAAAAATTATACAGTGAGTATAAGAAAATAATTATAAACATACTTTTTTAGTATCATAACAGTGATAGAGAAGAGAAAAAAATAATGCATCAAATAGTTGCTAATAACGCTTAATATTCTTAACATTATTTTGGTCAATTTAACAATTTCAATGCACCACCATACATTGAATTTTAAATTTTTCAAGTTAGCACTGAACAATAAGCATCTGTGATTTTATTTCTTTCTTAAATTGATGAATATTATGATTTGAAAGAGGTAAAATTTCATTCAGATAAGAAGGTGCTATATAAGAAAAACATCCTTGAAATTTGGAAGTAAGGTGGCTAGGTATGTTGAATGAGTTAATTCCCAAATTGACCATATGTATGTCAGAATGCCTGCTTAATAAACTATATAAATAACTAGGTGTTTTAGTTTAAAGCAACTTAAACAAACAACTTTTTATCAACTATTGGACTCTGTACCTCACATTCAGCTCCTTCATTTTTAACAAAAATGGGGTGGCAGCTCCGTGGCAGCCAAAAGCTTTCAACGCCGCTTGACTCCCCGAGAATAGGTTTTAGACATCCCAAACGTTCGTCATCTCCCAAGCTTTTACGGCCACGTTCAAATTCAGCTGCCAGCAGATGTCAACATCTTTCAACAGATGAACAACGAAATTCTGTGCTGCTATTTTCATGTTGACGTCAGAAACTTTTCAGGCCCCACCCTCGTAGAAGTGATATGTTCAAAGCCTAGGCAGGTGGATGTCGTAGGAAGTGAATAAAAAAGGCGAGCAACTGCCAAGAAGCATATCTGAAAGTAGTTGTTGTTGTCTGTGCAGCCACTTCCGAGGTTTCGAGATATGACCTTCTTCCTCACAGTCAACGTGCATACTACTGAAGATGTCTGTCGCAAAAGCGACAGACAATCGCTGGCACGACTAAGTTCACTAGTCATGCTAGCTTTAGCATTCGTCGCCAACAGGTATACTGTTTCATATCTAAACGTAGCTGTGTTCTGTGAATGACTGACTGGCAAGTTACATGTTCACTCATATTTATACAAGAGGGTAGTGGGGATATGTGGGAGTGTCAATGCGCGCTCACTCCTGATTGGTACACAGTTTTGCTGGGTTGTTGACAGGCTCGCTGCTGGTAGGAGTTGTATTCCAGTGTATTTCTGGCCACGCCTGAATACTTGTTACCAGGTTCTGTTGGCCTTCTTCTCTGTTGAAATTGTTGCTGATACTTATAGATCCATATGGCCTTCTTGTGACGTCGTGCGTAGTGATGCGATGAATTAGACAGGACAACAGTTTCTCCGTATTTTATTACGTGGTCTGTTGCTGAAATTGCAGATTTCTGGCGTTGCATAAGGCAGCAGTTGGACCTGTGGCCTTGTATCCTGTTGTTGATTCAGTGTTTGGTAGGTCCAATATAAACTGAGCCACAGGAACAGGGAATCCCGTTAACACCAGTGGCTCTTTTTTGTCTTTGACTGATATAATAGTGCTGCGTAGTTGCTTAGTTGGCTTGCGTATAACAAAATCTTTGTTAGCGCTTTGCATTTATAATGAACAATTATTAGGAAACAGATTATAGAAAAATATGGTTTCATACCTGCGAAGGTCATAGCGTTCAACATCCCTTTGTCGCTGAGGGTGAGATTGAGATCGCATTCAGCTATCGGTAAAACGTACGATAAAGCCACTACTTCGAAAATTTCTGCTACGGATGGGAATATCGTCACGAACATCAGGAAGATGTTGTATTTTCCAAAGCCAGTGGCAGCTATAGCTTCTTCGAAAGACGCCGGTTCGGGAACTGAAACTTAATTCCACAACATACATTTTCAACTATTCTACGTTATCTCATAACTAACATTCATAGGAATACTTCACGTTTTCCAAGAGCGGAAAACGTCAAAAGGTTATTCGAAGGATAGCCATTATTTCGTTTTCAAATCCACAAAACATTTTTCAGAATATTACATTGTATTCTTTGTGCTAATAGTCGCCAATTTTGAAAAAAGAATCATCCGGTGTAAGTTAGCGTTTTCGGTAACAAGTTTACCGATATATCACCTCAATCGTCCAATTAGTATACTTTGAAACGTCATAAACATAAATAAGCTTAAAAACAGACAGCTTTTTCCTAATTTAATCGTTTTTGTGTATCTCACGATCAACGATTTTGCCATGTTGGTCCTCATCTTGGACATACTATAGCAGAACCTTTCAAGAATTTCCACTCTTTATAATGAGGCCAATGTTAACGAAGCAGAACGAGAAATAAAGTTTCAAAATATCTACGTTATGAACTGTTCAACTGATAAAATTACCTCAATTTTAAAAGGTATTTTCATTATCTTATTTACAACTTCCAACTAATTTGTTGTCTAAAAATTCAGGGTCGGCCTTCAATAAGGTACTGCGACAAACTGACAAAAAAGAAGTGCTTTTCTTTTGAAAATCGGTCCACTTCTTTAGAAGAAGAATTTGAAATGACGAACTCAATTCGCTTCTGAATGAAATATTGTTTGTCATCCAGAATAAGTGAATTTAAAACAAGGCGTTCCACGAAAGCGTGTTAATGGTAGTTCATTTCTTTAATCAGTCTTTACAACATATATCACGTTAATTTTTTTGTTTTTTTTCCTTCTTTTTTTCTATAGATGATTGCTTAGATTTGAAAAAATACTCACCAGATGGTGAGGATCGTCCAGATTCCAAATGAGAACCATCATCAGCTCCTCGAAAAGATGGATTTGTGATTGGTGGAATATCTGAAAAATAAATGAATGAACTGGTCAGTGAAATCAACACACAACTTCAATTGTTTTTCTGTTAAGAGGTTAAATCGGTTAAATAGAGAATATAGTCCGTAGAGACACAAAATTTTATATTGAATTTAATCTCCAGCGATTCAAATCCAACGTGAATCGCTATTTTCGCAGAGGCACCGCTCTCAAATCGCCTAGAGGATTTTCCTGTAGTGTTTGTGATTCGTTCTTGAAATAAAAGCAGTGGTGTGTTAATTTTGCTGTCCACTGTATAGTATTTCCAATACCAATTGGAACAGCACAGAGAAGGAATTCCCGCCTCGACATAGGCGTCGGTATATTATTTTTCAGTGGTAGTTTTTCAGTTACTTATTCTTACAATCGTGGCAATTGATCACCCCATGAAAAAGTTATCTCAACTGAATTTTTTCATCATGGATAATTATGAAAAACTTCGAAATTTAAGGTAATTGATTTCGGAGTCGAAAACTCTAAAATATAATGAAAACACAAATAATCACACCGAATTCTTGTCAAACATATATTTACAAAATAATAGAGGCCAACAAAATGGTTAGAAAAATCATAATTCTTCTTCGCTATATTCAGATGAGGTGGAATAACGATCGGATTTATGGAACTTTGCACATAATATTTGTTCTCTTCTTTTATAACGTGTGCCACATAGTTAGAAAAAGTTTTGAAAAATCGGTTTGCAAAACTAATCACTACCTCACCTAACCCCACGAACACACGGCACCGATAAAGAAATATTCTGAAACGGACAAAAAGTTTGTATTCAGCCAGTCCAGCTAGCCGAGCCTTTATTCGCCAACTACATTTGATAGCACGTCCATCCATTCCCAATTGGGAATGGATAGACTATACTCATTTGACAGTGTATGTGTAAAATGCGATAATTTTATCATTCAACTACGTATTAATGAACATCTCTGAAAAACATATCAACAAAAAAAGTAACTGATAAATAACATCAAAGAATCTACTGTGTTTTGCTATTTCTAATCAATATAAATAGTTATAACAACATTGTTTCCGAATTCGCCCTCAAGATTACAATTTCTTTCAGCCACTACTAATCTGAATTACAAATATCATTTAATTTCAGCCTTGTGAATTAATATTCACGTACTTTCCCAACGAGTATTTTTCCCAAAAGTCGTATATAACTATTGTGAATCATCATTATATAATTAGTATCACCTTTGAAATTAATCCAGCAAGAACTGCGCATTTTTATGTATATCGTTAGCCAGTTATTGTTGTTAAATAAATCATGTATTTCGAGAAATAACTGTAGAAAATTTGTTTGATTCAAGGATGAATAAAATTATCAAATAGCGGTTTGAGGCACATGTCAATTTTTATAGTTAGCTTGAAAATATCGCAAATTAATTTTTGACAAAAAAAAATTTTCATCAATCTCATTCTTGATAAAATGTATATCTTTTTTCGTAAAGTACGATGTATCTAACAAAGAACTCCACTTAACAATAACAAACATTGTTTGTCCTTTTCAGTAAACAAACAAATAAAACAAAAAAAAAGAATTGTCACAGTTAGTTCAAGTGATTTCAAAAATTCAACGAAAAAGTTTATTGCCAGATACATAAGGAGTTAATTACTTGTCGTGTTGATCATGTCCATGTGTTACATGGGTCAAACTGGAAGAACATTCAAAGCACGTACAAAAGAACACGGAAACAGTTTTCAAAATGAACTCAACTTCATATTTGTTAATGTCGCATATCCCGAAGAAATCGAGGTTTTGAAGAAATACTGTGAATGCAGAAAAGCAGTCCAAAAATCTAACCAAATATTATGCAACCTAACCTTTTCCAACACATACAGATTCCGTCAAAGAAAACTGAACAAGGCAATTGCTTGCACAGTTGGCGTTCAGAACAAAAATCGCCCTAAGCCGTCGAATTCGGTGTGTTGGTGAAAGGCATAAAAGTTAGAAATGTTTTGCATGTTGATCTTCGTTTCTGAAACCCATATTGATGACCGCTCAAGGGCATGGTGGCTTAAGGCTATCTCTATGCTTTTTGATACCACTGATAGACGAAAGAATTTGCATTAAATGGAATTAACGGCCTTGAAACAATTGAAATATTGACAGTAGCATACAGTGATTGTACTCTGAATCAGAATAGTGTTTAAAAGTGGTACACCCGTTTCACAGACCTGGACGACCTGGACCTAGGACGTCTAGGTCAACATTTTCAACAACCGTTGAGAAAGTGTAGGAAATCCTTATGGAGATTCGTCGAATCACTATTAGAGATGTTGCTGAGGAGGTCAACATACCGGTTGGATCATCGCATGCATTTTTTTCTGCATGGCAGCGGAGTTCGTTCCAGTAATTGTTGAATGACGTCATCGACGATCCAGATTTTTCCGAAAGGGTCATAACTGGTGGAGAATCATGAGTAGATGGTTATGACATCGGAACCAAAGTCCAATCGTCCCAATGGAAGAGCCAAGACCAAAAAAAGCAGGCCAAGTTCGATCAAATGTCGAATGTACGGTCACTAAGGAGTATTATTTTGAAGTTATGCGCCACTTGCAAGAAGCAGTACGGAGAAAACGTCCAGTATTGTGGAAAAACAATCCATGCCTCAGCCACCGTACAAACCAGATTTGGTCCCCTGCGACTTTTTCCTGTTCACAAGACTGGGGAGACCCACGGAAGGACGGCATTTCGCGACGGTTGAGGAGATAGACACTGAATCATGAGAGAGCTCAAAGACATGCCAAAAAGTGCATATCAGAACTGCTTGGAGAATTGGAAAAAACGCTGGCACAATTGTAGGTATTATATCTGAAGGGGACAGCTTTGAGGGGTACAAAATAAAAGTTGATGAAATTGAGAAGAATGAGAATTCATTTTATTTCTTCAACAGACCTCGTGAAAGTTCTCACCTATAATTTTTTATATGAGTATATGTATATTTTGATGGTTATGAATATTTTCAATTATGTACCTATATCTGCAAACAAGCACTGTATTCAATGCCTCAATATAAATTTGTCTTCCATAATTTGGCCGTTACTGTTAGTGTTAATGTTGTTTTTCCTTCTAGTTATTCCATTTGCTTACCTCCCATGAAATCATCGTCACTTGTGTCAAAAGGAACGTGCTCGTATCTTATCTTCCTTTCATCAACACTCTGGTCTTCCAGACGCTCCATATTATGCGTGAGATCACTACCTCGAAGATATAATTATTCTTGTTTCGGTGAACTGATTTGTTGACAACGCTGCAAGTTTTCTTCGGGGGATTCAATTGTTATCCATCGAACTACCCTGGTTCAAATTCTCACCTACAACCTCTGTAAAATACAAGTTTCGTTAGATTAACAGTTTTTCGTTAGTTCACTAACGATCAAGTCCGATCAATTCAACAGATGTAAACAGAAGGAATCCTAACCTACCAACTACCTCACTTGGGTTGTATACTGATTACCTTGGGACAAGAATCTGACGTGAAATAGCATGACCGACCCGATACAGAACGTAGATAGCGCTAATTGTTTTGAAAATGAGTTGAAACCAATAATTACTGTGTACCAAAATTGAAAATCTACAAGTTGAACTGGTGAAATCATAACTAACTGATAAAAAGCTGGTTGTACTATCGAATTTCAATTTGGTTTCCAAATAATATGGCATGTGGTACCTCAAAGATATGTACTGGGTCCTTAATCATCTCTCATTTATATTTTTCCATTCCTTATCACATCATAAATACGTTTATAGGGCTGGGGACCCAACACTAATCAAAACTTGATCTGTTACAGACATTCCTTGACTGGGTAAAACATTGTCTCTTAAAGGAGCGAAAGAGACAGCCTTATTTTGAAGACATGAACTTTGTAGGCTGCCAAATTTAGGAAAACATTAGTAACTCATACACCACACTGTCTGATGGATTTTGTTGATTATACGTGTTTTTTGTTTTTGGATGATTCGTGTTGGGAATTCTTGCAGCAGGTTTAGCACCTTCTTAATTTCGATAATAGGTTGCAGAGATATCTATTTTTCTTTAGTAGAAAAACCTATTTGGAACATGGTATATAAAGGTGAACAAATAATGATCCGTCAGACAAACTGACAGTAGCGAACTAACTGTTTTTTTCTGTGATAACTGAACCCAACAAAAACTGCAACTGCAGGAAAAACTAACACTGTTCCTCCATTTAAATACGTTTACAGAGTGACCACTTATAGGTATTCGTATAAAATTGTGTGAGGTTTTCACTAAAGAGTTCACAAAACTGCTACATGTGTTTTGCTTTAAAATACTTTCCTGTGGCGTATTCATACTGACTCAATTCTACATAATTAGTGCTTCACAAAACAATTTGAATTATGCGACGTTATACGTACTCAACGACTGAAAATTTTACCTGAGTTTAGCTATAAATGGAGTGGTTTGAAACTCTGGCCATTGAAGAAGCCCACATAAAGTCCCGAGTCTGGTTGAGATACGTTGACGAAACCTTCATAGTAGGTATGGACCATGGGAATACAGAACTACACACCTTCGTGAAGCACATCAACAACGTAAGTCCGTCTATGACTTTCACAATAGAGAAAGAAGTCCACAACCAACATGGGTTTCTGAATAAAAAATCCACCACTACAGCTATACATTCATATTATATAGAGATTGTGAACTATATTGAAGCAGGGGAGTGCCCTGTTGGGATATTCTGCGATCTGAGCAGGGCCTTTGACTGTGTTGATCATTTTCTCAAGTGAACTACACAGTTATAGCATAAGAAGTATACCGTTTGCATGGCTAACGAACTATCTTTCTTATATGGCCCCCCTCGAATTAGGAGTACCTCAAGGGTCGATATTGGGACCCATATTGTTTGTATTGTACATACATGATTTGGAGTATGCAGCGCCCGGAACATTCATTACAATGTATGCAGATAACACGTCTATTATAATCTCTGACAAATCAGATTCAGCTTTGAACGAAAAATGGAAGTACTTAAAGTTTTTAGGTCTCCACGTTGATGAACCACTGTGTGTTCCTAATCAAAACAATTAACTCTATATTTCATATCAGTTCCGAAATATCAGTCAAAACCATGCATATCTTTAAAAAATAACTCAAGGATTTTCATGTTGATAAATGTAATTATCGTTTTGAAAAGAAGCATATTGATGAGTAGGTAATTTTCATTATTTTTTTCCAGGAACTTCTAAGTCTCCTATCTCTTTCTTTGACGATTCCTATACAAATTTTATAACTTTGCCAAAATGGAAAATATAGATTCATTATTTATTATTATTATTGTTATAGTAGTGATTAAGTTCATGCTCCTTTGCCAAAATATGGTTGGCAGCAGTGAAATTGGTCATCACATTCAAAAAACTTTTACTATGTTCTTTTATTCGTTGGGTAACGGTTCCCCCCGTTTGGCCAATATGAATTGCAAGCAAGAACCAAAAGTCAACTTATATACTCCTGAACTATTTCCTGATTTGTCATTTTTGTTTTTAGTGACATTGCTCAAATTTTTATTGTTCTGTGTTTGTCTCTGATTTTCTACGTTGCAGTAGAGCCATAACGGGTTCACTTCCACTGAGAAATGGAAAATAGAACACGTTGAAAAAAAAGAAACAATATCGTTGATACGTTTTCCTATGTTTTTGTTTCTTGCTTTTCATAAAAATAAAGATGAAATGTCAAAAAAGATATTTTAAAAATGACTCGCTCACGAAGGATGTTTCCTTTGGTTATCAAAAAATAATTGACTTCAATTCAATACCTACGCATATCACTGGTAGGAGTTGGTAAATCCAGCAAAGTGAACCCATTCATAAATATTTTATTAGCCAGTTTGTTAGTACACATTAGCCAAACCTCTATTTCGTTAATGGATTCCTTCAATTAAAATTCGATTGATTGTCAGCAAAATAATCAAAACCTAGTAATAGTTCTTCAATCTTATGAGTTGTTCCACTTTCATTGAAAACAGTCATACCAGGTTAATAGTACATTGATGTACTAGAAACCCTGAATATTTGCAAATGCAAATTAATTGTAATCTCAATGTAATTGATTATTTTATCTAGTTTGTTCACTACTTGCGAACTGTCAAACTCATCCATTTCTTTGAAAAACACTCCAGCATCATGAGATTATTGTGTTTTACTTCCAACTCTCCATGCCAAGCATTCTAAGAATCTTGTTTGCTGCATGAATTTGTACAGGTCCCTGTTGAATATTTTTCAGGACACAATCTAGAGCCAGTACGTCATTCTACAGCCCTATTTTATAGAAGCATGCTCCCAATGGACAATTTTCAGCAGCACTGCTCTTAGATTATTTTTCAGGCATTTCCTTTATGAAGGTTATGATTTGGTTCTGTCCCACAGATTTTGCTACATCCAGAACTGGTTCAGGACCAATATAATATATGGTGCTTGATGATTCTTGAGTGTCCAAGAACCCAGGATGAAGTCAGGTGTAACGAAAAAGTTCAGACTTTTCACTCAGTTTTTAGAGTAATCTGCAAATGTTTCAAAAGTTCTGTTCCAGAACAGTTAAATCCTCGAGTCATATTTGTTGCAAATCAATACTTTTCTTAATGATTTCTGTGAATTCCACAAGTACCTGATAAAAATCAGCACCTTATTACATCATGTATCTTTCTCCATTCAAGTGGGAAATACATACGTTCAAGTATATTAATCAAACAAGATGTCTACGGCAAGATTACACTGGGTCTTTTCATCAGATCAAAATGTTTCATTTTGTCATTCATTTTTCATTTGCGGTGTTTAACCTTGAAGAATTGTTCTATTCATGATGATAAAAAGTTTGCACAAAGATTATTTGAGAATAAGAATTCGTTTTTTTTGCACTTTGATACATTTCCGGGTGAACCAGAATATGTTTTAAATAATTAGGAATATAGAGTCCAATCTATGAATTTGAAATTTTCTCCTTCGAATAAATGAATGACGCCGTGGTCAATAATTCTGTTGTGACCCTGTGTATTAGCATTATCGATGTATTGAAGAATTACGCACCCAGTAGGGAAGTATTGTTTAATGTATAAGTAAATATAAATCACTGAAGAGCAATAATAAAAAAATGGCTTCTAATATGTCTATAATCAATAGATCAAGCAATAATGTCAATAATTCTGTCAAATACAGATCTCGAGCTTGAGAGTTACAAACAAGTAAACAAACAAACAAACATACATACATACATACATACAAAAATGCATGCATACATACATTCATAGATACAGGTGAAGCTAATGAAAGCGTGTTGATAAAAATTAAAAAAAAAAACGAAGAACCTCGAATTGAAAATATGTGGAAATTATTAATTCATATCCTTCCTTCGAATTGACTTAAAATTTTAATTTTGTCAATAAATATGTAAATGTTCGTACTTTTGTTGAAAAATCAAAAACAAAGCAGTAAAAGATAAAGAACCGACTTTTTCAGTAATTATTTCATATTATATAGAGATTGTTAACTATATTGAAGCAGGGAAGTGCCCTGTTGGGGTATTCTACGATCTCAGCAGGCCTTTGACTGTGTTGATCATTTTCTTAAGTGAACTACACAGTTATAGCATAAGATGTATACCTTTTGCATGGTTAACGGACTATCTTTCTTATATGGCCCTCCTCGAATTAGGAGTACCTCAAGGGTCGATATTGGGACCCATATTGTTTGTATTGCCATTGAAACCTATTTGGGTTTATTGTAACTTACACCAAATCAAATTCGCTAAATGAGGCCAGTTTCTTGAAGAAAGCAATTACTTGATTTAGGTCGAATGGCAGAGTAAAATTCTGCTCAACTCTGGAAACCTGAATCGGTCCACAGCAGGGCAGGCATAAACTTCATGTTCTGCTGTTCCATCATCTTCCAAACAGGCAGTACCCACTGTTTTCCGACAGTCCAAGTTTCTACATATGATAATTCAGATGACAGTGACATGTAACTAGACCTATTGGTCAACTGGCGGATCTAACAAAAACACTGAACCTCTTCTTTGCAGTTCAGTCCAGTTGATCAGTGTATGTTTGGCAAAGCCTAAAGAGGTGCCAGTAACAGGTTCTGGTCCAATGAAACCGCTGTCAGCCCCGTCCCTTGCGAGGGTATAAGCAGCTCCATTTCCTTCAAGGCCGTGGCAGTTCAACATCAACTTGGATGTTACTGGATAAGGGGCTAGTGTTCGATCCAATTTCTCCACTAATCAGTGGCGTTGATTTTCGCTTCAAATACCGTCGCATAGATCCCTTGGCAAGTTGATATGTCTGTCGTGGGTCTTCGTCTGTACAAACGTTCACCAGAACTAAAAGTATTTTTGATCTACCTATGAACCTATGTTCTCCTCCCGGAGAATCCAATTCTCAGCGGGAATAGGACTGCATCAGGCAAGGCGTTGATGACAGTGACTTTCATTGTCAGCCAGTAGTTTGCTACGTTACACATAAGCCAGTTTTGTGCAATTGGTTATATGCACAACTCTGTATGCTCTTCATCTAGATCTAGCCTCACCCAGATGATGTAGAGAGAAGGTGGGTCTAGAAAGGATTTTCTTGGCTACTGATGGTGTGGTTTTGATGACACCAAGGACAGCCAGTGTAAGTGCACCCAAGAACTAACTACGCCACCAGGCAATTAATTTTCGAGAGATCATTGGTTTGAAAATCATCACATATACCCAAATGATTTATTTAGCTAGACCCCAAGATTTTCCAAAGAACTTTTGACATGTCCATTGGAACAGTCTGGCTTTGCAAACTTCCACATGTGAGCATTTTAGGTTAGTTTTTTGTCAAGGAGAATTCCTAGATGTTTCACCTCCGCTACAAATGAAAAAACCTCTACATTAGGAAAACATTAGGAAAAAGTGGAAAAAATCATCCAGACCATCGAAATGTTACTGCTTCCTCTGGTGACTGGATGTTTTAACAAGCAGGTGATATCAACGGTGTCAATCATGTGCTGAAGATTTTTGAGAAAAACAACTTGGATTGTGTGTTTCAAAGATCATCCTGATCATCAGATTCATACAGGGTTGGCCTGTTTATAAGGGGGCAAGTTTGACTCAAAAACATTCAACACAATAAGAGGATGTGTTGTTTCCGAATTTTTTGAATAAATATGGGCGTCAAGTGATTTATCAATTTATGTATTGCTCAATAATCAAACACGTTCAAGATTGATTGAATAGGTTTAATACCTACACTTAAATACCAAATACCGACAGGATTAGGGATTCTCGATGAAAAACTAGGATGCAGTTCTAACAAAGATATTTCACAGTTAGAGTTAGTGATTATTTGGAACGTTCTTTGAAACAGAGTTCAAATTACAGTGTAAAAACGTGAACAAAAAAAAAACAAGTGCTTTATTTTTACTCGTCAAATTAGAAATAATTTGAAAACAGACACATGACAAGCAAATGCAGAACTTTCTTTTTAACTATTAGTTTTGTCCAAGAGATGTTGGACCAGCTAAAATGTTTCAACTAGAGAAATTGTACTCAGCGCAGCGATCAGATTTGTTAACTTTGTTTTCTAAATATAAAATTAGTGTATAGTTATATCAATGCATATACAGGGTGTTCCTTAAACACATGCTAATATTTAAGGACGTAATTCTTAGACCCATTTTAAGGAAAAAACGTCCTATGGACGTATGTCCTAAACGCCTTAACTTTTGAGATACAGGGTGGCAAAGTTTTCAAAAATAATCAGTTTTTTAATAATAACTGAGATAATTTTGAAGACATCTCTGGCATATTTGGTACATATGTTCCATGCCTAAAGGCGCATTTTCTGATGTACAATTTTCTTAATTTTCTCTGCCAGTGGCGTACGTACGAGTTTTGAAATGTATATTTTTGGCGAAAAAATACTACGCCACTGCTTTATCTTGAATTAAAAATTATTTTTAAAATCTCCATACATTTTTGAGCACATTTGATTTG